AATTGTTGTAACGTTATCCCGTCCGTTCTTACCATCTTTCCTTACTTCCTACTTTTTTATTTAAATTTTTTTACACATATCTCACAGTTTTTTTGTACCAAGTCTCGAGAGTGACTGGGTTCTTGGCCTATCCTTCTTGTAGCTTTTTTCAGAGCTATCTTTCGACATTTACTGACATTTGCTGATATCTTTGCTATAGTTTTACTTTCATCTAGCTAGGGCGGTAGCCTTTCTTTGGCTGGATTAATGACTAAGGCTTGTTTCACATATTCAGCATTACTGTTTCTACCCTTATTTACATTCTTGCAATAATGCTCTTTTCACTGAGACAAAGACTTTTCAAGGTTATCAACATAACATTTTAATTAGCATTGCACACACTTCTACTATAAATAGTTCCGTACTTATATATACGAGGGTGTATCTACAGTTCATAATAAGTTATTTCATCCTATTGCTATACACTGAGTGAAAGTTTTTTCTACACTTAGCAATGTAAAATCGTGTAAAAATAAAAAATATGAACATTAACGAAATCCACATTTTTGTACCCAAGTCAATCCACATCACTTTTTTTCATAACTTAAGCTTGGAACCATAAATGGTACAACTCTGAAGATATGCGACGCCATGATGGTAAAGGCAGCAAAACGCTATTACATATGATAATGTTTGATAGTGTGGCAGCTATGAGACATAATATGAATCAATTGTACACTTTGTGATGAAATACGACAGGATGCTGTTATTTTCATATTTTTGTAGCCTACTCAGTAGCAGAGTCAGTGATCTCAAGGTGCTTTAAATTAATATCAATAGACTCGATTCTTATCGCTAACGTCAGGCCCACAGTTTATCAAATTTTACATTGTTGAGTTGGCAAACTGCAATTTGTAAAATGGTATTTGTTCAAACTGAAAACTTAGGTTAGAACATTTAAAGATTATGCTTTCTTGCAATTAAATAAAAATGTTCAAATGATTGTAATAAACCCACACATTTTTACTTTAGACCCACGTTTGTGATAACTGTAAGCAGCAGTCTGCAGAAGACACGACATCAGAAGTAATCGCTTCGCAGCTCTAAGAGTGATTGATGGTGAAGTCAGCAGAACGTTACTATAAAAAACAAATATTTGTATGGTGGTGAAAACAAACTTTACCCAATGTTATGCTAGAGAGTCCAGGTTGAGAGTTTCGAATTACAGATTCAGATAATCATGGTATTCATAACAAAGTAGCAGTTTGTTGTTCATTAAGAAGTTCGAAAATTATATTAATGTAATTACTGAACCAGAAAAAAAGCGCCTCTACATATTTTGTTGAGAACTATTTTGACAGACAGTTGTTTTAGAACTGCAAAGATACAGATAAGATGGTGCACGTTTCCCAAAATAAAACTAAAAAAAACTGAAATACGATATCGTGAGGGCAATGCTTGTGTAATATTTTCATTTCTTGGATTGTAAGTAAAATATAGAAATATTTTCGATTCTTTGCTTGCGACATTAAGTACTCTAGACAGAAACACTAAGCATATTTTATTTCAATAGTCATTCAGTAACAACAACTTTCTCTTGACAAAGAATGTGGCTATGCGTGAAATATTAATTTTTCGTTTCGTTTTAAATGCATTTAAAAAATGTTCAAGATATTTGATAAAGTTCTTGAATATTTTCCGTTTGAAAACTACCAGTTTCTTACTGCCCATTACAAGAGTACTCGTAAAGTAATATGGGGAAATGGGTTTTAGAGGTTCTAACTGTACAAAGATAAGATAAAACTAAGGAAAAAAGGTAAAAGCTTGATCACAAGAACCCTCTTTGTAAAAAAATACAAAATATCATACTTAGAAGATTGAGAGCACTGCTTATCAACCTTAAAAAGTAAAAAACCGATGTCTGATCAGAAAATCTTAGAGATGACGATTATTTGTACTAGGATTAAAGCTTGAAAGTTGTAAACCATTCTGCCAACCTATTGCGAGTAAGTTTAATTTTACACGTTTTGATAAATCCCTGACAAATGTGTATTATATAGATAAGAAAGTCTTGCCGTGTCACAATACAAGTGTGTTTATTTTCAGAAAATAACCAAATCCAACCTCGTGTCACAATACAAGTGTGTTTATTTTCAGAAAAGAACCAAATCCAACCTCGTGTCACAATACAAGTGTGTTTATTTTCAGAAAATAACCAAATCCAACCTCGTGTCACAATACAAGTGTGTTTATTTTCAGAAAATAACTAAATCCAACCTCTTCTTCATGAGTACACGTTTTTCATATATATAGATTTTATATATTGTAAGTGTAAGCTCATCAACTAGACCACGTGGATTTTATGTTATCCAACTTGGTTTAATCAAATTGGTAAGAAATCTATTTTAATGCTTCATTATTTTGAAAAACTTGAGATTTCTTTATTAAATTATATTGATCATATGCATCACTAAAACAAAAAAGTTTTTATTTAAAATGCTACTACGGACCACTTTGAAAAACGTTAAATGTAAAATGCATTAAAATATTTTCGTAAAAGTTGCTATGATGGAAGGGATCATGCTTCGACGTTTCGGTAATTTGCACCAGAACACAAAATGGTGTTCGATGACTGGTTTATTCTCACTTTCACGATAAATGAAACGAAGTTCAAACCCTCATGAGCTAGATGTCTTCGAGCTTTTACTAATACTTATAAAACATCAATTTAGTGAAAATGCTGGCCTGGTGGTCGTGGGTTCAAATTCCGTCCCCAAACACGCTTGCCCTTTCAGTCATAGGGTGTTATAATGTGACGGTCAATCCAACTTTTCGTTGGAAAAAAAACTAGCCCAAACGTTGGCGGTGGGTGATATTGACTAGCTGCCTTTCCTCTAGACTGTCACTTTTAACTGATGTACAGGTAGTGAAGATAGCCCTCGAGTGGCTTTACGCAAAATTCAATAAACAAACAAACAAACTGAAAAATGTTCTTTTTTCTTCACACACACACACACACACACACACACATACACACATACACAAACGAACAAACAATTATAGAATTGACAATAAGTATGTTTTATCCTCTTGATAATAGCTGTCTCTCAGTGGCAAGTCTGGAGACTTATAACACTAAAAACCGGGCTTAGATATCCGTGGTGGGCACAGTACAGATAGCTCATTGTTTAGCTTTGTGCTTAATTCCAATAAAACAAACAATATGTCTTAATTCTTGAGTTTCTTTATCATACCAATGATAACTCGTAAACACATACGGAATAGTTACCTAAGATGTATCTAGACAAAATGTATCAATAATCTGACTAATCTCAGTTGTGCTATTGAAGTAGGAATTGAAAACATACTTACATCTAGACAAGATGTATCAGTAATCTGTCTAATCTCAGTTGTGCTATTGAAGTAAGAGTTGAAAACATACTTACATCTAGACAAGATGTATCAGTAATCTGACTAATCTCAGTTGTGCTATTGAAGTAGGACATACCGCTGTGCCACTGGGGGGGGGGCAAAACATATTGAAACAGCAACTGCTGCTTTGTTCGTTTTAAGACCAGATGGCCTGTTGTAGGGAATAGTTTGTTCTATTAGATTATTTCACAAGTTAGAGCCCCTTCCCCAGTGACACAGCGGAATATTTGCGGACTTGCAACGCTAGAAACCGGGTTTCGATACCGGTGGTGGGCAGAGCACAGACAGCCCTTTGTATAGCTTTGTGCTTAATTAAAAACAACAACAACAACAATATTTAGAACCATAGTAAGTGTGATATCATATATCTTGTATCACACACTATATTTTGTTCAAATAATAGCAGATTATACTAATATGTTACCACTAACTTCTAAATCACTTAAAGTAGGGATATTAACATAGCTTACCAGTAGACCTGTTCTGTGTTATACGGACAAAAAGAAATTCCTGAAAAACATACTTGTTAAGCCAAATTAAAATATCAAACACGATATTTAAAGAAATCTATCTAAATTAGCATAACTTACACTATTTTTATACCAGTTTGAATACATTTTAAGTCATATCATCCTCCTTTTACGTTAACGAAAATGATATTGCAATAATCTGGAACCATTATGTAATAAATAACTGAGAAGTATACAATATAATGTAATGGTCATGAACGGTTTTGAATTGTTTAAGAGGAACAGAGAAGGCGCATCATATATGAACAATAATAATCAATCTTTTTTTTCGACGTAACAACCACTCTTCGCTCTTGGTATCGTTTGCTCATGCGCAGAGTCATGGCGCGCACAAGCAAAACGCTGTCACATATGGAACTGGACATCAGATTTATAGCGTCGGCCACTTTGATCAGATAAAGCTCGTTTCAAGGAAGAAAATCAACATTCCAACAGTTTCTTCTTGAAGACACGCACTTTTTTTTTTATTATTACCTTAAATTCCCGTATTTGCTTTTCATTGTTATTAATCATTAATTAATTTACTGACTTTCTTAAGCATTAACTATTAATTTTCGCTGCGATACGTCAATTTATTGGGACGGTAAGACTCGTTTCCAGGAAGCAAGTCGACATTCCAACAGAAAATAAACACTTTTTATCTCATGACTTGAAATCCTGTAATTTCTTTTTATCGTAATCAATCATTAATTAATTTACCGATTTTCTTAAGCACTGAAGGCTCATTTTCACTGTATTACTTGGACGGTAAATCAAATCCTAACTATGTCCGATTTATTTAGCTATCTATTTAAGTTAAACTCAACAATTTTACAAGCCAACAATTTCAGCAAAGATGAATGGCTTCTAATAGAAGGAGAACTGGGAATTTCTATGGTAGAGAATAACACGGAAAAGAACTCTTCCCATAAATACTTTCAACCGAAGCATCCCGTTCCTTACTCTTTCGACTTTATCTGGACAACAGCAGTAATAACACGTGTCTGCCTTTATTCTATTATCCTTATATTCGCTGTGCTGGGAAACGCCATGGTCATCACCATCTTAATCCACAACAAGAGGATGCGGACTGTGACGAACACATTTCTTCTGAACCTGGCCATCAGTGACCTACTTCTTGGAGTCTTCTGTATGCCCTTCACTCTGGTGGGGAGTCTTCTTAGAAACTTCATATTTGGTGATTTAATGTGTCGTCTTATTCCTTATCTGCAAGGTAAGAGGTTTTTTTTTTATATTTACAAATGTTAATTCTTTTCATTTAATTGAACTTGGATGTTTTAATATTTTTTAAATAAAGAACAAGTAAAATAAATATGTATTTCTAGTATTATACGAAATATTATGATAATTCATTCTGCTAAACTTTATCCTCATTAACCTAATTTGTTTGAATTCCTTATGATACCGTATATATATTATTATGCTTTGTATTATACTATTTAACACTTTATAATTATGATCAATAAGTTGCTTGTATCACTTATATATAATAATTTCCAGTTATTACTATTGTAATACTTGTATATCTATTCTATGTAATAATTTCCAGTTATTACTATTGTAATACTTGTATATATCTATTCTATGTAATAATTTCCAGTTATTACTATTGTAATACTTGTATATCTATTCTATATAATAATAATTTCTAATTGATACCACAGCAACTACGTGTGTAATCAATAATATAATTATATAATTATTCTTCTAGTCAACTTTTCGAAAGCGCTCGAGTTTAGGGTCTTATTTTAAGTCTGTTACACGTTATATGTGATCCTTTGTGCTAATTATTTTATCAAAATTCCTGTATAACTGTTATTCTTAACTTTGTTTAACGTAAACTGGAGTTTATTACGGGACATTTTAATAAACGTAATAGCGAAATATTGAGCTAATAAAGTTACATTCTGGAGATATAGGTCGTGATTTTATTTACGTTTATAAAAATCCATAACCTTTACCCATAGTGAAGAAAGAAAAGTCAGTTTCCAAAAGCGCTCTGTTTATTGGATTTCTTTCCAGTGCACGTATTGCGTTAGACAGTATTTTTAAGCAGTACAACATACTGGAAAGCTAAACACGAAGTTCAAAAACGTGTAATATATTTTAGCGCACGTCTTTAATACACTATATATAGCCGTAGGGTTCTTGAATACGTAGCAACGTATCGTATAATGATAAGAAAAATGTTTCGGTGTGAAGATGTTTTTATACGTACATGAACACTATGTATATTTATATAATACGACATAATATACATAACGGTATTTACACCATGGACAATTGTCATTAAAGTATGATATACTGAATTATTTCACTAGTGGAATTATTGATTTAAGCGTTAAATCTCTCTGTTTGAAAATAAATAATTTCCGTTACTGGACTGAACAATATTTCATATTAACACTTAATTTCCGTTACTGGACTGAACAATATTTCATATTAACACTTAATTTCCGTTACTGGACTGAACAATATTTCATATTAACACTTAATTTCCGTTACTGGACTGAACAATATTTCATATTAACACTTAATTTCCGTTACTGGACTGAACAATATTTCATATTAACACTTAATTTTTGTTACTGGACTGAACAATATTTCATGTTAACACTTAAAGTTGTTTTCCATGTTACAAACAGAAGGCATTCTACGTTTTCCATCCTTCCGAGGCCAATAATCGTAACTGTACTGAACAGTTAATATATTTCATATTAACACTTAATTTCCGTTACTGTGCTGAACAGTATTTCATATTAAAACTTAATTTCCGTTACTGTACTGAAAAATATTTCATATTAAAACTTAATTTCCGTTACTGTACTGAAAAATATTTCATATTAAAACTTAATTTCCGTTACTGGACTGAACAATATTTCATATTAAAACTTAATTTCCGTTACTGGACTGAACAATATTTCATATTAACACTTAAAGTTGTTTTCCATGTTACAAACAGAAGGCATTCTACGTTTTCCATCCTTCCGAGGCCAATAATCGTAACTGTACTGAACAGTATTTTATATTAATAATTAAAGTTGTTTCTTTACATAAACAATAGGCGGAATTCTGTGTTTCCCATCCTCCTGAAACTCAGAAAATACTGTATTTTCCGTTCTTATGAAATCGTCACTGCACTGAACAGTGTTTCATATTAACACTTTAAGTTGTTTCTTTACGTAAACAGACGAAATTCTGTGTTTTCAATCCTTCTGAAACCAAGAAAATTCTGATTTAAAATTATCACACAACTTTTACGTGTTATATATATTTTGGTATAGTAAACATCCTCTGTAAGGTACAACAGGTCCGTTTAATAAAACATCCTCTGTAAGGTACAACAGGTCCGTTTAACAAAACATCCTCTGTAAGGTACAACAGGTCATTTGAATAAAACACCCTCTGTAAGGTACAACAGGTCCGTTTAATAAAACACCCTCTGTAAGGTACAACAGGTCCGTTTAATAAAACACCCTCTGTAAGGTACAACAGGTCCGTTTAATAAAACATCCTTTGTAAAGGACAACAGGTCATTTTAATAAAACACCCTCTGTAAGATACAACAGGTCCGTTTAATAAAACACCCTCTGTAAGGTACAACAGGTCATTTTAATAAAACATCCTTTGTAAAGGACAACAGGTAATTTTAATAACACACCCTCTGTAAGGTACAGCAGGTCCGTTTAATAAAACACCCTCTGTAAGGTACAACAGGTCCGTTTAATAAAACATCCTCTGTAAAGTACAATAGGTCCGTTTAATAAAACATCTCTGTAAGGTACAACAGGTCCGTTTAATAAAACATCCTCTGTAAGGTACAACAGGTCATTTTAATAAAACATCCTTTGTAAAGGACAACGGGTCATTTTAATAAAACACCCTCTGTAAGATACAACAGGTCCGTTTAATAAAACATCCTCTGTAAGGTACAACAGGTCATTTTGATAAAACATCCTCTGTAAGGGACAACGGGTCCATTTAATAAAACACCCTCTGTAAGGGACAACGGGTCTGTTTAATATAATATCCTCTGTAAGGTACAACAGGTACTTTTTTTATGGGACAAATCTCAGTTAATTGGTTTTACAAGGATATACGTATATCATAACAGACATGATCTGCAGGTTTCACAAGGATATACGTATATCATAACAGACATGATCTGCAGGTTTTACAAGGATATACGTATATCATAACAGACATGATCTGCAGGTTTCACAAGGATATACGTATATCACAGCGATTATAACAAGCAGATCTCACAAGACTACACGTTTATCATAACGATCGTGACAGGCAGATCTTACAAGTCTTATACACTTATCATAACGATCATGACAGGCAGATCTTACAAGGATATACGTTTATCATAACGGACATGACATGCATGCTTCACAAGGCTTGTATCATAATGATCATGACCAGCGGGTCTCACGAGGATATACGTTTATCATAACAGACATGATCAGTATGTCTTACAGTTTAATGCTGAATAATATTAGCATCCTATTTTACATGTGATCAATAGATTATTAGTATCATAAGGTTAAAATAGCTAATCATTAATTTTGTCTTCTCACTTGTGTCTAATTTGTTTCAAAATTTAGCACAAAGTGAAGCCTTTCCTAATTTTCATTTGATATATCGGCCCTTACCGGATCGTAGAACTGTCACTGATATCACATGTTTTTTTTTTGTTCCTTTTCACGGTAGAAATACCTAACCACCTTGCCCGAAACTTTTCGATATGTTATGTAGTTTTCACTTACAATTTTATAGAATTTGATTTTGCATTTTGATACTTTTTAGATTGTTTTGTTTTGTTGTGATACATAGTTTGAAAAACAACAACATTCCTTTCATCTCATAATATATATATATTTGTTGTTGTTGTTGTTATGATCCGAAAGTTTCAACTTGTTTGATATTTCTTTTGATACTTTCTTTTATCAATTGAAGGAGTCAACATTTCCAGTTGTAAATCATAAAAAACACGACCAATGCTCATAAATCTTTGTTGGTAATCCAAGATATCACCTTTCGAAAAGTCATCACAGTTACTTTTCTCAGATTAACTATCGTGTTTCTGCCAAAAATATCTAATAAATATAGGTTGCTTTCAATAAATAATAAGTTGTTTTATTTGTGTTTCACGCGAATAGTTTTCTCCCGTCACCGTACTTGTTAACCCTCACCTTATGTCTTGAGAAAGAAAATATTATTTTACTTTTGAGACATAATTTACAAGAAAATATTTCCATGAGCGAAACGACTACCAAAAGGAGCAACAGAAACATTCCAAAATCTATGTTGTTTTTTCCTGAGTTCTGTAAACTTCCCATTAGAGTTCTGTGTATACATATCCTTATGGGTGGTCAATATTTTGACAAGCTACAAATTACTTCTGAGACAACTTTATTTACTCTGTATTTTCGTATATATATATATATATATATACATATCAGAAATTCTTCCATACAGTAACTTTTAGTCGCCATCTCTAGATATTTTCAAAGCTGAGTTTCATAAGTAACTCTTCAGACTACATGTTATGGCGCAGTAAAAGGATTGTTTGTTTGTTTGTTTTTAATTATGCACAAAGCTACACGAGGACTACCTGTGCTCTGCCTACCACGGGTATCGAAACCCGGTTTCTAGCGTTATAAGTCCGCAGACATACCGCTGTGCCACTGGGAGGCTAATAAAAGGATGACAACGAAATGCTGTTGTAATGGAGATACTGACACAAAAGGAAAACAATGTGAAAGATATGACATGAATATTCTCAAGAGATGATCGTTTTTTAGCAAATATAAACCTGCATTTTGGGACTGGCAGAAGAAAAAATTCACCTGCGAGACTCCTCGTAGTTACACAGGAATACAAGTTTTTTGTAAATTACATTAAATATGTCATGAAAATATATCAGTTTTAAAACATTTTTCAATACAAAGTTGTTGAAATATAATTAGAATAATTGTCTATATTTTGAGGTTTGATATGCAGGTGTGCGAATGATGCACGAGGGTCTTGATAAGTTAATGTTTTCTTGGTGCAAAGCTACATAATGGATCATCTACATTCTGTCCATCAAGGAGAATCGAAACCTGGATTTTTGCGTTGTAAGTCCGTAGACTTATCGCTACACACAAGGGAACGTCATATCAGGACCAGAGGAAAGTCAGTCTAAGTACTCACAGTTAACTCTTG